TTATGATTTAAGCTGAAATCTGATTGAATCAAGAGTATTTTTTCTTGTCAATGTTTTCAAGAGTCTGGACTCTAGATCCAATGTGTTTTTTTTTCCAATGTGGACAAAAATATTCATAAGTAAGCGAAGCGTGCTTCTGTAAAAATAAGTAAATTTATGCAAAAAAAAATAAGTCGAACACAACGACCTCTTTACAAACGACGGGTCGTAACGATCGGAATAATAAATCACTCTGGATAATTTGAATTCATAGGTTCGCTGCCCTTTTTGGTCATAAAAGCTCCATGACGTTACCTTAAAATTACCGATATGCCCGTCGTCTCCTTGAAATAGGTGCTCTAGAAATAAACTTGAAGCATTCAAAAAAGTCCATCAACATTATGGCGATCGGTCTGTTATGATGTACAATCTTCATTTCAGTTAAAGTAATTTACCGCCAAATGTTAACAAATTCTTCGTCACGCAAAAGTCGTCATTGAATAAAAAAATTCGTCGACTGTAATAGAAGAAACGGAGCCAGAGAATGGCATAGCCAAAAGTTCAGTGACTTGTCGTCTACAACTTTACAAGCATTAGACTTGTAGGCTGTTAATGCTAGGCAACCCAGGGCATAGAGTGTCTGTGGGACCAACGCAAAGAGAGGTTGAAATTCTGTGCCACCAAGGCGTGTCGACTGTCGCCAGCGCCGCCTCGTCCCTCCCCACACCTTAAATTTTAAAGTCGCCAATGCAGACGTTTCGATTGTTGTCAAATAGCCGAACGGTGGGGCCTATAAATATGTCATTGGCAAATCGGTGCGACTCGGTTCAATGACAAGAGCTCACACTTATTGCATTATCTTCTGCGGATTAGAAGTCATCTCAAATCAGTGCCAAAAACGCTAGTGAAAGGGTAAAAATCTAATCGATTAATTTCAATTGATTTTCACCAGACTGCTTCGCGGTTCAAAACCCCCGAGCGCTTTGCGCCCCACACGTGTGACTCTTATACTTTTATATCATAGAGAAGTATAATTTAAATACAAAACATTTACTTTTGGGAAAGTACCTCAACGTTTCAGCGTGTAATTTCTAGCCGAGATATTTCATGAAAAAAATGGGGGTTCAGGCGTAGCCAATGGGGGTGGAGATCCTAGGGGTGTGGAGTGTGGACACCGCCCCTTTTCATCTGAAATTATAGCCAAGAAATTTCGTATTCTACAATTTTTGGAAATTTTTATATTTGGACCAAGAAAACGAGAAATTGTCTGCATCAAACCTCATTATAAATTTCTCGTTATACGGAGGAAAAATAATCGTTTCCCTTGCAATGTTTACCTATACTGGATTACAGGCCCCACCAACTTTTCCAATCTTGATTACAATTCTACCTTTGTTGACAATTATTGCCATACCGGTTACAATGCTGGCTGGGATGGTGTATTTTGGACCTAAATAATTGTTATTACAAGAAAGCGTTATAACTACGATTAGGGAAGTAGGTAAGACCTGGAGTGCATCATGACCGTTGCTTTCACGGAAAAATTATATTGCTGATTTAACAATTCAATTGCTAAAGAAAGTGGCCGCAATGTTTCAATGTAGATTTTACAACAAAAACCTGCTACTTTAACCACCCCCATAGTTAAATTAGTTCACAATAGTGGTTAAAGTAGCATTTGTTTGGGTGAAATCTGCGTTGAAATATTGCAGCCACTTTTTTTTTTTTTTTTTTTTTTTTTTTTTTTTTTTTTTTTTTTTTTAGGAATATTGAATTGTTAAATCAGCAATTTAACTTTTTTCGTGAAGAGCAGCGAATTTCTTTTTGCCGTATACGTCACTGAGTTGTATGTGTAGGAAGAATGTACAAACAGAATTGCGTTTTGATGCATAGAGGCTTCCAGGCACAAATAATGAGACATGATTCACAATTCCGAATTCCTACTTTCGATATAAAATGTATGTGGGGTCGACCAGCGCTAACAGCCATATCACTGATCACACTGAACAACAACTTTGGTTAGAAATAAATCAAAGGAGACCTGTAATAGACCAGTCGATTCCCTTATTTCGCGGCTACTACGGCACTGAGGCCACAAATGACAGCAAAAAGTCCAACTTTGCCTCTGGATATAACATATTTGAGTTTTTTAAAAAAAAAATTATTTAAAAAATTATAAAGTTTTCCTTTTCTTTTTATTATTTGTTTTCCAGTTAGTTGTACCATGATGGATAATGAAAATACTGAAGGTCAGTGCACTGCGCTTGCTTTGATTTCAAGCAAACGATCGAGAGGCGTAAGACAATTTTCCCGGATAATATGAGGGGAAGGAGAAAAATAAAATACCGTCAGTACTGCGGATATCAGATAATTTTGGCTCAGGACAAGGTTGCCAATTTGTGCGATAAACTGTTGATAATTTACATGGGTCTACACGAGAGAAAATATATTATTTTTTTTTCGCATTTTTCGGCAACAATGGCTTGGAGGCATTTGGCAAGTTCAGTACTGAGGAGGTGAGTGGATCAATGCACTCTGCATCAGGAACCGGGAGTTACTTGCTCTTCGGTTTTAAATAATGAATGCTCAATTTTTCAAGCATCCTCTGCGGGTGTATCGATCTCAAACAGGGGGTGGGGGCGACGCTACGGTTTGCAAAGGTATTACTAGGGGTCCTCTCCAGTCGCTATACGACTCAGCTCTGAGCAGGGGCAATACTAGCGAATTGGCAATGCTGTTATCTTATATTTAAATCCCTTACAAAAGTCGATTCTAGGTGAGGCAGCTGACCGCAACGTAATTCGATTGTTACCGATAAGTTCACAACGTGTCGTTCATTGATTCAATCAAAGAACATGGAGAGACATAAATGTGTGTTTTTTGAATAGATAGAAAATCAAAGATATTGTAATAGTTAGATATGCGGTTAGGGTGGGGTAATCTGGACCTGTTAGGGGGTACATGCGCCTGGTGGATAGGCAGTGTGTTTTACGTAGAGGCAAACCCTCCCATGAGAAATGCCTAGGAGTATGCCGCATAAGAGTTTGCCTCTGCGTAAAACACGCTGCCTACCCACCAGGCGTACGTACCCCCTAACAGGTCAAGATACCCCTCCTTAAGTAGGCTCTTACCGTATATCTAACTGTTGCAATATCTTTGTAGAAAATACAGATTGAAACAAATGAAATGGTCTTTCTTATCTCTCGGTTTCTGTTTATTTCATTATCTTCATAATAAAAGTACTTCAATTTAAGTTAATAATTATTACTATTTTTGAAAAGTGAATAATCAATGCAAAAATAGCTGTCGTTATTAATGTAATAAACATGTGATTAATATTATGGCATTCGCATTCCGCGGTATGTGTGTTGCCTACGCGACTAAATTGAAGGCTAACCTCAAGCGGACGTCATCTGTCAATGGGTTCACGCATCGGTTCTATCAAAGTTTATGAAGCGAGATTTTGCACTCCCCGGCTGGTAATGTGGCCTATTCGAAAAATCGAAGGGGAACTTCAAGTGAACGATACCTACTTGTATATTGGCAACAATCATTTACCGGTTCCATCAAAGAGTTTGGAAATAGATTAATGTGTGTTTTTTAACTAAATAACTGTTCATCCTGATGTTTTTTTCGTAAATGCGGCGAGATTGAAGACCAAACTCGAGCGGGCGTTATACAGGGTTATTCAAAAGTCACGCACCACTGGCCATAACTTTAGTTCTAATTATGATATCGATGTATGAAATCGATCGATTTGCGGTTTAAGACGTTTTTCCTCATATCGAGGGGGAAACTTTTTCAGGTACTTTCCAGTTTTTTATCCCCTCTGGGGGAGGGGGCGGGGGGCAACGCAAAAATTTCAAATGGCCACCCCCCCCCCTCGGTGGTGCGTGACTTTTGAATAACCCTATATGTCAATAAGTTCACACATGGTCCATTGGCTCTGTCAAAGTTTATGGAGCGAGATTAATTTGAGTTTTTCGCATAGGTAACTATTCGCACTCCCCGGTTGGTGTGTTGCCTATATGATACATTGAAGGCGAAATTAGAATGGACCATATATACCAACAAAATCACATATAGTTTATTGGACTATTCAAAGCATGCTGCGGAGATAACAGGTTTCCGAATAGCTTGCTGTGCGTGCTCCCTGTGTGTGTATTTGACACACTAAATGGACCGCGTTTAACAGAAAGGAACCAAGCCACATCAGCTACTGCCAAATTTAACCGGGCACTTTAATTTTTTACAAGAGCACGTTTGTGCGGATTCCTTTGACTGTCTCAAGGAATTTGATTCGTATTATGCGGAAAATTCACTGAAATTTTCCTAAAAATCCGCACAACCGTTTTCATGTATAAAATTAATTTGCCCAATTAAATTTGGCAATAACCGATGTGGCTTGGTTCCTTTCTGTTAAACGCGGTCCAAATATATGACACGCGCATCTGACTCAGTTTTACTTACAATGCTAAAAAGCTCAGGGTGGAATCCATAGTATATTACACTCTTGGGCGTATATGTTTGACAAATACCCCGAAAAATTTGAAATGAGGGAGGAATTTGCTCTGCTCTTGCAGAGCGGGTTTCACTCCACATTCCTGTTCATCGGATCGTTAGCCAATTATCTACCGTTCGGAGTGAGACATATCGACACTCTAGAATCGATTCCGCTATTTCCACAGTATTTACCCAAGTAGCACAGATTGCAATAAATTGCAATTTTGTGGTATAATTATGGCTATTTCATCAGAGTGTTGTTTATGTTGCCTATCCACTGATTGACGGAACACTTCTTATTGAATTTTATTGCAATAAAATTGAAAAAAGTTGCAATTCTTCATTGCATTGTATATTGCATATATTGTTGATTGTATAAAATCGGCATTCATTGACCAAACGATGTAAAAATATTCCAATTTCATGGTGAAAAATTGCAATTTTATTTCAATATTTTCATTGCACTCTGCTACTTGGGAGTGCGCTTTAACTTGATAAAATTCACAGGACGAACTTACCGTACGCAGGAATGAAACATCATCCTGCTCGGAACCTCCGTCTGCCTCCGTCATTTTGGTCAGTTAATCCTTATACAATATTCCCGAACCAAACAAAAACTACCTACGGCATAATATCGAAAACAAACGGGGACATCACTTAAGCAAAAAATCACGCACTTCCGGCACAATGGTAACTTTCGAATCGCACATACATACACTGATCAACATCGTTTTAACTACGGTTAACAGAAAGAATAGACACACTATTTCTAAAATTCTACCGAGAGTGAGGCCGTGAGGGGGAAGGGGGGGGCGAAAAATCGGCAAAACACAAGAATTGGCGCGGTGGTAGAACAGGTGCTAAGAAGCACCCCGGAAGCCGGGCAACTGATCCGTTTTCTAAGTCCGTTCGCGAACCGCAGCTCCGGGCGCCAGGGAGCCCCGCGGCGCGGAGGGGAGGGGAGGGGGGCTAAGGGAGGAGGCACATCGTCTGTGTTCCTGTGACGTCACCGTTTCAGAATAGAACAGTTCAGAAGTTTTGTGGATAGGCTATCGCGCCTCTGGATCGAGAGGCGCCGGAATTGGACCATTTAATCCAGCTCAGAGTGGCATATCGACGCTGAAACCACGTATCTCGCTTGCGGTGATTGAAAATCTCTGCTCCCAATTTAATAATTTCAAGGAGAAAAAATCAACGTCATTCTATGAAGTTTTCATAGAATTTTTCCCGCTCAGAAGAGAAAAATCACGGACATGTTGAAGAATTGACGCTGAATAGTTTTTCATTTGGAAAATAGAGTAAGATGGAAAATCTGCTACGCTCCAAACCAAGATACGCGGTTTCAGAGTTTCATTGTCGATATCGCTCAGTATACTGTGTGTGTGAGTATGTGACGAGGATAAAGATGAACTTTTGGCTTTGACTCCAAGACCATGGATATCACAGCCAAAGAGTAGGAAAACGCGCTGATATCGGGACTCCAGCGTTATAAAATTGTATTTACCAATTGGATGACAGTCCGACATTACTCAACGTCTAAGTAGATGGTCATAAAGCGAAATCACGTAAACATTGAAACATCTGAAATATTGTACTGTCGTACTAAGGAAAAACGCCGTATGAACCTTCAGGCGTTGCCAAATTTCCTTTGATAAAACACGAATTTCCTAGTAAACTCATGAAAATTTTCCTTCCAATTTTTCAGATAATTTTGTTTGCAACTTCACCTAGAGTCTCTGAAAATTTCGAAGAAAACTATTCACAACTTCACAAGAATAATAATTATTGGTTATTTTCACCTAATTTTGAACACAGATAATAGGATACTCAACTTTGGATATTCGATTGTACCTTCATCTTGCGACGCAGCTTTCAAATTGGGTCATATCATTTAATTTATGTTATTTAGTGGAATATATAATCTGCCAGATGAAAACTTTGCTCGAGAACTTTGAATTTTTGACCGTAATTTCAGGACCAAAAAAAATCCCTATGGATACCTATTCTTCAACTCTCACACATTTTCCGCGCGTCTATATGATCTCTCATGGAGGACTGACTTCCAGTGGCATGGCGTGAATTGCGATGTATCGATTGTTATGCTATTTGAACCTATGGTAAAGAATCGATTATTAAGGTGTTCGCTGCGAACACCCTGTTCATCAATCCTTTCACATAGGTTTAAATGACAGATCAATCGATATATCGCAAAGCACGCCACGCCACTGCTGACTTCCAAAAGCTCGGCAAGGGGGTAAAAATTATCGCTTTTATGATGCAATAGGGTGGCCCAAATTTGGCAATGTCGGAATTTTTTTAGTCTTACCCCCTAGAACTGTTCCATTTGATCAAAAAACACTCTCTGCCAAGTTTCAGCCAAATCGGATAATATTAACCCATGCCGACAGAGCCATCTTTTTTATATGGGATTTTACATTGAAAAACACGTTTTTCCAGAAAAATCCATTTTTCGAAAAATGTGTAGTTCCTAGAAAAAATCTGAGGTCATATTCGGCTTCAGCAGGAAAAATTGAGTGGGGAAACATGTATTGGACACTTCAAAAAAAATTTTTTACCCCCCGTTACAGCGGCGAAACAACTGAAACATCTAGCAAACGCTAAAACAGGGTAAAATGACGGTGATAAATCCCAAATAATTACGTACGTCTGCATCCGAAAACGAAGCTCGACATATGGTAGGTGTCACGTACGTACGTTTTTACGCTGAGTCCGAAAATGCTATCTATTTTTCTCTATTCCATCAGGATTTTCCGGAAAATCGATTTTCTTGTATAAAAAGAGGGTTTTTCGGGGAAAACTCAATTTTCAGGATATAAACCTCAACATGTGATGGCTCTTTTTTATGTGTTTTTCAACGCCGAGTCCGGAAATGATGTCAAAGTTGCTTTTTTGAAGTGTCCAATACATGTTTCCCCACTCAATTTTTCCTGCTGAAGCCGAATATGACCTCAGATTTTTTCTAGGAACTACACATTTTTCGAAAACTGGATTTTTCTGGAAAAACGTGTTTTTCAATGTAAAATCCCATATAAAAAAGATGGCTCTGTCGGCATGGGTTAATATTATCCGATTTGGCTGAAACTTGGCAGAGAGTGTTTTTTGATCAAATGGAACAGTTCTAGGGGGTAAGACCAAAAAAATTTGCAAAATAAATTTTCCTGTGTATAATTGGGCCACCCTAATGATGCAACGTTTAAAACTTCCTCAAGCCTCCCTTGATCACAGTGTAAACCTTGGGCCGTCCTAGTTAAGTGACGCACTTTTCCGGCATTTTAGACCGCCCCTCCTCACCTTGTAACGATTCTGTTACGTGGGTCCCTATCCTTTAGTACGTAAAGACAAAATCGCGTAACGCACTCCTCAATCCCCATGGAATGTTACGCAATTTAGGGACGGCCCTTTATGGAGCTTCCTTGGAAGAAGAATTGATCAAGGAACGACTATACCCTGATAAAAATTGGCAGTAGAATTTGTGTTCCAAAATACCATATACCTACAGCCGGCTGTAAGATTTCCAATAGCTCCTGTAGCCGGCAACACAATTTCTTAGAGCCTTTTATAGCCGATGGCGACTAAGCAACAGCCTGGCGATAAAGTGTATGCTAAACGTTACTAATTACGGATGCTAGGACTTAGTGAGTTTTTGGACTACCGCTCTCTTTTTGGGCAGAAGTATCTTGATTTATTTTGCGAGGAAAACTCCGTCCTTTTGAAGGATGCCTGCCATTCCTAACATGTTGGAGCGCCTGCAATTTCGTATGATACTGTGCAATAGCTCTGGTGTGAAATTGTTGCTTCAAGCGCCGTGGTACGCTGCGGCGCCGCGCGGCGGGCGGGCAGCCAGCGCGAAACGCGCATTGGCGCCTTCAAACCTAACAGGGATACTTCACGCATTGCGCAATGCGTGAAGTATCCCTGTTAGGTTTGTAGGCGCCAGTGTGCCGCCGCTCCGCTTTGTGTTAGGCTCTAATATTTAATCTCGTGGAGTCAGCGTTTTTCAACTCATGATTTTGAAATGTTTGCACACTCTGTATGGATTATTCTCATTTTAATTGATGAAAAAAAATATGTAGTAGGAAAATATCATGTGCGTTTTGTAAATATTAAGGTGATTCCGTACAAACTTAAGGATTTACAAAGCACACGAATTTCTAAACAATTTCTTATAGCCTTTTATAGCCGATGGCGAAAAAGCAACAGCCAGGCGATAAAGTGTAAAGCCCGGCGATAGGAACTATAGCCCGGCTGTATAACTTTTTATCGCTTCGTGTAGCCCGACCGTATGATTTTTCCCACTTTTTACAGCCAGTTATATGATTTTCTATCGCCCTCTTCAGTCGGCTATAAGAGCTCCTATGGAATTTGAAACGCAGCTCCTATTGCCAATTTTTACCAAGGTAAAAACGACACTTTGGTTATTGATCGTTGCAAAAGGGGCGCACGTTTTTTTTTTTTCATTACATGAATGGATTTACTATTCTTACTAGGGAAATGGGGCTACGAATGGTGGAATGGTGGATGTTTTGGACCGCTCGGTGAGTTTCGAAGACCCGAGCTGACTCGAGCGGCCACCTGGAAAGTTGACAAGCAACAATTCCGCTGCCTACACAAAATACGAATATAACTAGAACATAATGCCGGTGTGGTTGAGGGTGAGAGCGGGGCCCGGGCAGCGCATGTTAGGTGCAGCCACGAGCGGCTCGGCGTGGCGAGCGCGCTCGCGGGCACAGAATCCGTGCGCGCCGCGCCTGGACCCTACGAAAAAACACTGGAATGATACCAAGAATTGCGCCAGTACCTCTCCTCGTCAGAGACATCATTATTAAAAATTACGTAACTTTGTATAATTATAGAGAATTCTGGAAAAGAAGCTCTGATGGTAGGCGCTCAACTCAATTCGTAGGTATACCACTGGTGAGGCTGCATTTTTTCACGGAAAATGAAATCTTGAAATTTCATTTTTCACGGAAAAAACTGAAATTTCATGTGAAATATATCGTCAAATTAAAGGATTTCATGAAAAATATTGAAATATATCTTTCGAAATTAAACGGGAAAAATGTAGTTTTTGCTGATTAGTATTCTCTTGTGCATGTTGCATACCCAGCCCCTAAAAATATATGTTTCATAGTTTTCACAGCTGCGTGATATTTCATGAAATAGGTATTTCACTAAAATTTGCAATCATTCATATTTTTCATTTCGCTTTTGCAGCCCTGGCCACTGAGGTATTGGAATATCCTATACATCATAAGGAACATTTATCAAAATTTATGTTGTTACATGCTCTATTAGTACACAATTTTGGAGCAAATTGCATGTTGCATTACGCTCTTCAGCAGGGATTCGAACACATATTAATTCAACTAAAAATTGAATGTAATTAAGGTTCGAGGTAGAGCTCTACAAAAATCTTGAGCGAGGCGGAAAAGTGTACATCATTTCACTCGTCAACTGCATACAGTTACGAGACCGAAGTCAATGCCGCAAGGAATAACGGCGTTGACCGAGCGCCATCGAATTTAACGGGCAAACAGTGGCGATTCTTGAAAGTTGGCAACGCGATTTTTCCTCCATTTAAATGTACGTAAAACAATCGATTCTTGGTGAGGCAGCTTGCATCACCTAAAAGCGATATTTTTAATGGATTTCAATGGAGGAAAAACAGTATTTCCAACTTCTAACTGAATCGGCACTGTGGGAAAATGAATCGTATATCAGTTGGATGGTCATCGTCTTCATGTTTTTGGGAGTTCTGTAACCTGTAAAGCTAAAATAATCAACTTTACTTTTCAAAAAAAGGTTTTCGACTTTTTTCTTTCGTACTATCATTTTAGTATGATTAGAAGAGAGTTCACATTGTGTTTT